AAGAACCTGGGAATAGCTGTATCCACGCGCCAATGGATTATAGAGAAATCGCTCGATATCGTAAACGATAGTGCTAATTACACACCGTTACATTTATTAATGATTAATGCGATATGCGATAAACAATGCACAGACATGGAAGAAATTGCGTGCTTAGCTGAAGCGCACCTTCCTAACGGATTACAATTAGGGAAATATTTCCGGTCGAAGATCACTTCGCCAGGATCCCAACACGTGGTGCCGACTTTTTACGGGATTCCTAAAATTCACAAAGAACCCGTGAAAATGCGGCCAATTATACCATGCCACTCCGCCATCCAAAATCCGGCTGCTAAATATGTGTCAAAAATTCTCAAACCGATTGTTAAATCGGCGCCAACCATTTTACATGGTTCCAAAGACTTGGCGAAAAAATTGAGTCAGGTTAATGTCGATAGATCCCGTAAAATGTTTATAGTTACGGGCGACGTTGTCGCATTCTATCCGAATATTCCTATCCAGAAATGTCTCGACGTGATTACTCACTTGTACGGAGAGTATTTTGGAACAGAAAACGACGAGGAGAAACTTCTACGTGAGATGATCTTCCTCAAGTGTCTTTCTGTCGGCAATAAAAACCTGGTCTTACAGTATAATGACTTATTCTTTGAACAACGCAATGGCCTGGCAATGGGCGTTGCGGATTCTCCCGATTTAGCCAATCTTTATGGTTGGTTCTTCGAGAGACAATTAGAATTAACCGCTGCTGTACCTTTCTATGGAAGGTACATCGACGACTGTCTTGCTATCGTTTACGCTAACTCCGAATCTGAGGCGTTAGCGCTGGTTGAAACGGTTAAGTTCGACGGCTGTAAGATAGAATGGGAAGCGAGTCCCTCACATCACGAATTCCTGGACATGATGATTTACTTCGATGCTAATAACACGATTCAACACATGCCATACCGGAAAGCTCGCTCCCATCAAGAACGTATTCCTTGGATATCTCACCATCCGCTAGACGTTAAGCGCGGAACTTATATCGGAGAGATGTCCAGGCTAGCCACGTTAAGTAGCACTCATGAGCACTACAAAGATGCTATTAAAAGTTTAAATGCTTTATACATCGCATGCGGTTACCCTGCTGATTATGTGTATAAATGGGCGAAAGATAATATAACCACACGTTGGAGCAACCGATTGGGCGTAGCTGCCCAGAGGGGAGATGACGACGGAGTGTTGGTTCTTAAGTCCACATATAATACGGCTTGGAATTACTTCAAAGCGAGAGAGCTCGGAGATACGATATTAAATACCTGGCGCGACCGAATCGAAAGAATCGAGCGCCTCGGCACTGCGCCGAATAATATGTCGGTGCTGTATGGAGACATCCCACCGTCGGAGGTAGACAACCGTCTGTTGATGGCTGTTGAAACCCCAGCAGGCCCTGTTGGCATGCTGGATATCAGAACAATTGGTATTTTAAACCGACGAACTATTGTTAGTAAAAAACGTACTAAAAATTTGTTCGATATGACCGGTCTTTGGAAAAAGATCGTTCTCCGAAAGTTTGATGAAGATTCAGTATCTTCGGATCAAAATGTCCCACCTTCCGATTCGTCTGCTGCTGGCGACGATTCAGACGGAAGCGACATTGATCCGCAAGTCTTCATAGATATGGTTATGGGTACGTCATGATGCGACTCCGCTAGGCTTAGGTCGAAACGGCAGACTCGTGGACAGATAAAGTAAGACCAGGTATCTTGCCGGTCGGTCGCGAGTAGTTGGACTATTATAAAAATCCGCCTGGGGTAGTAGTTAAATCAAGTCGGGTAAGTGCTCGCTTAAAATAACCATCGTACAACTCATTCGCTATATAAAATTGAAAAAGACTCCTTTATTAGGAACGTACATAAACGTGCCAAGCTCGGTACGGATGGCAGGTGGTCTGCCAGCGGACTAACCCTAACCCTAAGTACGTTCTGACAACTTAATCGTTGTCGCAGTCACGCATTAATGAATTATACTAATTAATGCTTACTCAGCCCGAAACCCTAACCGGAACCCAAACCTTAACCCGGACCTAACCGTCCGTCACGTGTAAGTTCGGCCGACCGGACCGGCGAAAAGCCGGCTAGGAACTCGGCCCGAAAAGCCGGTCAGGTGACCTCGGTCTTAACTTAGTACGGCCCGGTTAACTTAGTAGCCGACGGCAAAACGGATAAATTAGTCAGAAGGTATGACTAACCGGTTAAATAGAACCCGCAGAGTAAGCAAGTATGAATAATAAATGGTACGATTCCGTACCTTAATTACTAACCGTATCACGTTTCGTGCTGCGGATTGCGTGATTGCTGATAAAGCCAAGCTGATTGGACCGCCAAATCCTCTCAGCCGAGTCATCGGCTTATGAAGCAGGTCCCTGAAGAGCTATAAAAGCGAAACAGGGTGAGAGATGGAAACCCCATCCCTCTGTTGGACCCAGCTTCGCTTTACCAAGCAATCAAGCAATCCCCAAGCATACCAGCTTAGTGAGTGATTGTATCATGATTATTGTGTCCTCCCAACGGCTTCGCCGAAGGGAGGACACCATCCTAACCCTATCAGGGCTGTATCGATGTGCCTATACCCCGCCTTCAATAACACTCAATTCATGAAACAGAAAAGCTCGACGAGCTTACCTGAATCGCCATCAGTACCCAATCCTTCGTTGCATCATATGCTTCAACTATCATTGCACTCGGACCACCACGAATTCCTAGATACATGAGCGAGAAATCACTGTATGCAGGTAGTGTACTAACCTATGATTGGTATCTCCGTACTGTTGTTGAGCTGAACAAGGGGAATTGAAGGCATCGAAGTGACTGAAGATTCTCTATCACCTGAGAAGGATGCTTTATATGCATGGATTCCGCATCCTTCACAGCATCATGGTATTTCGTACTCCGCAGAGAACGTCTGATTCCCAATAGAGAATGCAAATAGAGCAGATCGATATCACGGGTCGAGGTATAGATGACAAAAGGTAGTTCCGATAATGGCTGCGGAGGTTGAATTGAACTCGTTACATTCGCTCCTGGATTCCTCAGACCTTCCTTGAACGGAGGATAGCTGTTCTGGGTACGGTGCGGAGCGAAAACAAAGGTACGTATTGCTTCCTACGCGGGACGGTTCCGGCTTGTTCAGGTGCCCGATATTATGGTGGTACAAACTTCTCGTTCATTCATGATATACTTTTCATGAACTGATTCACTCGACAGGATGGTGAATTCAATGAAGCCGTTCTGGATGTGGACGGTGTCATTCATACAGCTTCGCCCGCCATATTGACTGCCGTCAATCCAGGAGGTGATATTTCAACTGGCCTCATTTCCTTTTGCTCAGTGAACACTCCAATTAGAGGATATTGGACCGCCCATGAAGGGTACGCTTGGCTTACTGACCAGCGTCGCCAAGTTCGGATAACTATATCCTGTTTATCTCCCGACGAAATATATTAATTTTATTCGACTAGAACAAACGTTCAGGCGCGTGGTCGTCACATCGCACCGCATCTTCCACTTCCCTGAGGCGGACTGGAACAGGCAAGCAGTCAAGGAAGTCGAAGAGAAAGGAAGTAATGCCTCTTTTGCCACAAAGTATTGTGCGTCTAAGACTCTGGCGGAGAAAGGTTACTAGTGATCATCATACTCGATTTCCAGGGCGCTTATCCGGTGAATACAGCTGCCTGGGATTTCTTTAATGAGATAAAAGGCACATTACCTTGGGGCCTCACGGTTATAAAGCCACCGAACGTAAGTTCCTGCCCGAGCATAATAATTAAACCTCATCTCTTCGACTCCTCTTCTTAGGTCCACGGTGTGAGCTCCCACTCTTCTTTCCTTTTTATTTTTTCCACAATCACGAAACACATCAGCCGTTCATCAACGAAGTCCGGACCCCTAATTACTCGGGTACACCATCAACGAATGGTACAACGTCATTGTCCGTAGGGACATGAGTGCCGATGACATGGCATCCAAAGGGCACTGCTGGTTCTATGTGCGTGTTTTGGCGGAGGCACACGTTAGGGTGTGGTTCGTAGATGCTACGGGGGGCGAGAGGATCATCGTGTCTGCGGGTCCGTATGTATAGCAGGATTGGCATGAAGGTTTCATCTCTTTCCCTTCTGCATATCGGAGACTTATGTGTGCACGAAAGTGGATGCTGCAAACTCTTTGCCTATGCAGTCACGAAGGCTACCTATAGGCATGCCGGGTACTGGAACGGGGGCTAAGTATCTGGTGAGTTATGATTCGGGAAAGCAAGAGAGGATATTTGTGCTGGGTTTTAGAATGAAGGCGGATACTGCGAGGGATGTCTTGAACCAGTTCGCGCACCTTGGGTGATGAATCTCCTTCATATGTATCACTACGAATCGCACATATTTTATTTTTGGATACAAATTTGAATTCATGGCGAATATATTTGACAACTGATCTCGACAGCAATCAGAGTAAAGACAAAGAATAGATTCAGAAATCGTCCCCGCGAAGCCACCGCTGAACCATGGCCAAAGATTCTTTCGGCTTATCGTAAGGGACCTGAAGAAATCAAATTAATCGTCGTCTTCCACACTCAGGCTTAAGAGAAACATACGAACCATATGCCCCGCTCCATCAACAGTAGCAAATGTCAACCCCTTCACGCTCCGCATCTTCCCAGCAGGTTTCTCATCGACATACCACTCCTTCAATTCCTCCCTCGCAAACTCCCTCTGCCCACTCCACCCCAACGCGATCGTCCACCGCTCGTTCCCAACCCAATTACATATCCAATCATACGTACCCACGTATATGAGCACCCTTACGCCGCGTTCGAGAAGGGCGGAGACATAGTCCTTGGTGGGGTGGAGAGTATCCTGGGCAGCACGGAAGTCGTTCCCTACGTCGTGGTTGCACGACGTGAAGTTGGCTGTTAGGGAGGGTTCGACACCAAGGAGGGTGCGGATGGCGGGGTCATCGAGGTATTGGAGGATGTATCTAGTAGGGAGGGAATCAGATAAGGGGAGAATGAGGAGGTGAGGTGATGGACTTGGTCATTGGGTAGCAAAGCGTCACGGAGATGTCCCCGTCGCATTTGCGGCTCATGTCGTATGGGTTCATGCCTAGTGATTATGAAGAGAAAAATGGAGATTGTGAGACTGCGTACCGGTTTGTCGGTAAGGGGTGCTGAGAACCGAGCTGCAGAAGGAGTATGCAGCGCCACAGTTGACGGAGTCGAATTGGTCCACACAGGATTGGGTCATCCATTTTTTGCATCTTGGGAGCTGACGAGACAGTAAGAGCAGCTGTAAAGGTATAAATGGATGTATACATACTGTGGATTTCATGTAAACGCAGGTTTTGATATCTAGGATTGGCGGGACGGAGGCTGCGGTGCATTGCACGTCGAAGTAGGATAGAAGCGTTGTTATGCTATCCGTTATTCCGTTTCCTTTTTGAACAACTAAGAGCTCTGGGACTGGAGAGAGAGAACATATGTACATACCTATCATTACAGACGTGAGGTTGATAGGTGTTTGACCAGCGGCCAAGAGCTTCGCGTTGTTGTCATATACAGCCGAGGCAAACAGAGGGAGGTACCTTCCCTGTATGTCCAATAAACAATGACGAGTAGGAGAGGGTAAACTGCAAGACATACACCATATGATTCGCCCGCCATATGAAACGATCTCCCTTTGAACTGGTCAAAGCTGCTGAAGAAAATAGTAACAAAGGCAGCGACGTCTTGCGCGGCATCTTCAGACGTGCTCTGCAGACGAGAACATTCTCAGATAATACAGCATTGGGAAAATGTGCACCTACGACAGTTTCGCCATACTCGGCGTAGGAGAATCCAACACCGATGGGCTGATCGATGAAGAAAACGTTCGCGTTCGTGTTCCAAGAATATGGATTGTACTTGGGCCCGCCAGAGTCGAGGACTCGGCAGGGACCTAATCAGGTTGGCGAGATGAATTAGCCTTAACTTTATCCGTCATCTTTGAGCTTACCTAGTTCCATGAATAAACCAAGCGACGAGGAGCAACCCGGGCCCCCGTTAGTCCAGAAGATCACATCGTCTTTGTCGGGGTTGCTCCTGCTCTCGAAAAAGTAGAAAAATAGGTGGCGGGCTTGGATGTCTATGTATCCAGTGTATGCGCTGCGTGTATCCCTTTTGTTAATTGATGGTAGATGAGGCGCGAAGCTCATACCTTACATTTCCGTCACAAAAGTCGGTTTTCTTGATCCTTACGGAATGGTTGGGGTATATGGGATGCGGCTCGAGAGTTTCGAAATGATCATAAGAAAGGAGAGAGAGAGACTGCGGGTGTGGCAAAAGGGCATCGTTTTCGTTGTTCAGAGTCGTAGTAGTTGATCTGTTTACTGCCAGAAAGGTTTGTATCGCGACAGTAGAGCAGAAAAACGAAAAGACGTAAAGGAGGTAAGACAGCAGCATGAGAGGGATTGCAAACAGGTGATGATAACGGCAGGGCTAGAAGCCGCTTTGTTGCTTATCGTGTATGGCTGAGAATCCAAGCACAAATATATCTTCAGTTCCGTTCCCTTGGCACGTGCGACGATAAGACGATCCAAGCGTAGTGAGTAAATTATTCTCCACGGATGAAGAGCCTTTCACACACTGAGCCGTAGGGATCGCAAACCAATTGCAAGTCAGTGCTAAGTGGGATTATGGACCGGAAAATCCGGGCCGGATATTTTTTTCCAACGTGCACACTGAAGCTTCGCTTTTACTCCGATTTGGAATTTTACGTTCGACTCTTTGCCGGCAAGAATCAAGAAGGAAAGTCATCGAATACTCTTAAAAGGAAGGCTTCTTCTGTTCCCGGTAATTTCCCTCAATCACGGACTGATATTTCTGACACAAATGGAGATATCGGTGAACCAATGGATGTACGCAGGAGGCGATACTCTTCCTTCTCGAGTCGGAGAACATTCTTTGAAGCCAAGCGGAGGTATGTTATCGAAATCAATTGCATTTTACTTCTCTCTGACATTGTTTGAAGGGTCGAGTGCGGGGGAATCTCATTCTCCAATGGGGAATACTGCCATGTCTCAACTTCCACTTGACCAGAAAACTACAGCACAGAACAGCATAGCTACGCATTCTCAATCTCCTCAAATCGATGCTTAGCTGCACTCACCTTTAAGCCACGCATCAGGCCGTCCAAGGTAATTACTTCTTCAGTGGCCCTTCCCTTCCTGACGCGATTGAACGTTACAAAAACAGCTCCGCAGGCACTTCTAAGACTGAAGGTATTGACATGCCCTGGGAACACAAAGTCTCGATCTTGCTCGTAATGGGGCCCAAACCCGAAAAACGACCGCATACGTCATAGCATGCACACGAAAACTGTCACGGGGTCGAGTGGGAGGACGTTTGCTGCTCGCCTCAACGGTCTGCAGACCTTTTAAACGAAGAGAACTGTTGTTTCATATATCCACTCAGGCTGGCCCCCCGGGAAGCCCCACTTTGGCGACGGGCCAGAAATGGAGCCAATGGTATGTTATATGGTGAGTAATAAATGCTGTTCAATTTGCTCGTTGTTGATGGCTTTCAGAAGACGTTCTCGCTTCCCAGACACGCCTTTCATCTCAGTGACGACGTGTAGTATCAAATCCTTCATCGAAAACGTCTGCTTGCCATCCGAGCTTGGAAAGCTTGACAAATATACAAGCATTATTGCTCATCTGAGGGATCCATCAAGTGAAAATCTGTCGGTAGAGATCTCTTTTACCGTTTTCATCTCTAACATTCGTACCCAGGTCCTCAATCCCATCCCTCGCTTCTCCTGCCCGTCTCACTACATTTGTCTCAGGAATGCGCGAACTCTAAGACCGCCGTCTTGCCCGATATCGACGAGATGGAGTACACCGCCAGTGCCTTAACTCCACTGATATTCTTAGGAAGAAACGCGGGCATGGTGAGTTCATTTTCACCGCTGATATCTGGACAGAATGACTCAATCGCTTTCTTAGCTGCTCCGTCATTTTCCTACTGCCCATGAAGAGAAGTACCGCCTGCGGTGGTGCCAGACGTATCCATGGACCGGAACAGTAAGCACATCCTCGTCATTCCCAGCCCTCCCAACCCGTTCTCGCCAAATACGAAGGTGTGGGGAAACACTCATACCATTATCAACTCGAACTTCCTCTGGATGAAGGTCAAGTTGCCACGTACGGACGTCCAGCTTTTAGTTACATATAAAGCTATGAAGCGATTCATTCTTTCGCGAGATTCCGCTGAAGGATCTCAAAGACGGCGTGAAGCCCAGAAGAGGCTATACGGACGGGTGTTTGGATCCATCAGTTAGCGGGTGATCTCGGTCTATTTCTGAATCGTCGCACTGATGGTATTCTATTGTGGGTCCTCTTAGGGTATTAATGCCAATTGCGTATTCTACGTTATGCCGATGGACCAGGTCGAATTGAGGTGCATGGGGTATCACGAGATGAATACTCGTACCGCTCTATGGGGCTGAGAATGAAAGGGTGGGATTTGGCTACGATGAAGTGTAAGTTATTTCGCCATGTTTGTATCTCACAAATCCACCTGCAGCATCTTTGCACACAGAGGCAAACGCGAACTCGTACGCAGGTCAGGTGGGACTCGGGCTTCGCTAGCGCAGGCCGACGCTGAGATGAGGGAATTCACCAAAGGTACAATAGCCGAGCTTATTTGGATGGAGAAACAGAGGTTCAATGGATAGACGCTCTCGATGAAGAAGTTCTCCTGGGTCTATTTGAGGACCATGCAAGATAAGAGTGGGTAGTTGCAGTACTTTGTGCATGGGATTAGGAGGGGCTCATTAACCGAAATGTTCCCATCAGAAGTTGAGGATGGGATCTTTCAGTACCTCAGTAACAAGATTCTGAAGATGTTGAGGGAGTAAGTAGGAACCAGCATTTGGAACCTTATTATACTCTTATTTTTCAATTGAAAAGGTGAAAAGGTGTGCTCTGATAGTATATTAACTGTAAAAGGATCAATGTTGTTGGCTGTGTAGTGTAATGGTTAACGCGCTAGTTTCTGGTCTGGTGTAAATTAGATTGAAGTAAGAGATTCCGAGTTCGAGTCTCGGCATGGTCGTTGAATAAACATGGATTTTTACGATTCTCTCAGGTCAGCGGGTTTTAGAGTTTTACTTCTTCCGGTTCACAGGACTTAGATGTTGACACCTTTTCTCACCATTGTAAATTATCAGCCTTTCTACTTACTCCTGATTTTTAAATGATTCTTTTTTCTCCTTTTCTAGAAGTGTTCACTGATTTCAAAGAGCAAGTTCTGTTACTCTTGCATTTATGATCTAGAATAAATGTATTTGCATCAGATTCTCAGAAGATTAACAACCATTTCATCTGGGATTCAAGTTAGGAGTTATGACTTATCCTCTATCATCACTTTGATTTCATTTCTCTGAACAGTGCACAGATTCTCAGTTGAGAATGCAAGGTTAGAGATAGATCCAAAAAATGAGCTTCTGACAATCAGCATCTTGACTTGTGAAGAGGGTTGCACACAGCCTATATCTAAGGTTTTTCCAATGTTATTTTGTGAAGACTCATATTTCTTTGATTCTGACTGACTGCTATGAAATTTTAAGGTGAAGCTGCATCTTATGTATTTGATGCATAAATATCAGCATTAAGTCTTTGAAAGATATGGCAGAGAAACTGAGACACACTTTTATGGCTCAAATGGGAAAATACATAGAACAGCTCAGGGTTATCACCTCTGAAGATGGCACATGAATTTGGGCTGATGCCATTGACACTCCTGGAAAACTTGAAAGTCTCCAGCTGCCAAACTCTATTACTTCATTTACAAGTTGACTGCTATCAGAGAATCAGGAGCAAATTGAAGAACATCCAAATAAGTAATTGTCATTCACACCATTTGTAGCACCACTGTACCACTGCCCTTTTCTACATAGAAATAGAGATCAAATCAAATCAGATGAGGCCTTTGCAGCAGCAGCAGTTTCCATGACTGCCAGGCCCCTTCAACATGCCTGTGTCACTGGTGATGTAATGTTATCTGGCCCTGCTTGCTGAAGTCAGGCTAGACTGTGAGATTAGCTGAGGCTTACAATGGATGCAGTCCACCACTACAACAAGCAGACAGCGAGACCGGCGATGTTGTGATGATCATATCATGACTTTAGGGGGTTCTCAACATCGGTATGAGGATCTGACGACTAGTTCTCTCCATTTCGCTGTATGATTTGCAGCAGAGTCAAATAAAGCGCCGAGGGGGAAAATAGTGTTACGAGGGAATAGGTTCCGAACAAGGTCCGAGCTCTTGCTTTGCACTTCTCAGCATTCCATGTCATTCTCATTCAGGAGAAAATTATTCTGAGGGAATCAGGAGCATGAGATGTCCTGTGCGTATATTCGCATCTGCTAATCATATTCAGGATCTAGCTTGGAAAATAAGAAAACGACATACAAACAAATTGGAGCTCTCAGGGCAGCAATGACTTCCATAGAACTATCTTATAGTTGGGGTATCATTGGCACGATAAGACACGCGTCCAATGAACATTTCGGTGCCGAAAAACACATGGTCACAGGTTGCCGTCAAGTCAACGGTGCTCAGATGCACAAGGACAATGCATTTCGTTGAGCGAGGCATCATCGCATTGACAAGAAAACACCGGAGTTTCTGCATCTGCGCACATGGTCATACCGTCAGCTAATTGTTGCACAAACCTACCGCATACTGATATTATTCAACGGACAGTGACGGACGATTCATCTAGGCACACAAGAAGGAAATTTTATCGCGATCGGTGGAGAAAGTCTAGAAAGAATGATCAAACTGACAACCATCTTACGACTCACTTACCGGTTTTTCGCAAACGTTCTAGACTCTCAAACTGAGCGCTGAGATTGCGAGGAGAATTCGTACCGAAGCTTTATGTCTCCTGGATCTAGATCTTGGTAGGGTGCTGTGGTAGTGTTCTAAAAACCCGTTTTGTAGAAAAGAGAAGGACAAATGTTCAATGCAGCGACACCTACGATGCTTGTTTGACTGTTCCTAGAAACTTGTGACGTTACGAGACAAAATGGGATTTCCGTTTATTGCGGCTCCACTTCGCCTTTTAAGCCTGCCACTTTGATTTGGAATTTGACCTTATTACCGGAATGCGTCAACAGCGTTTCCACAAAGAGAAAGGATGTACCAACATGTGCCATGTGAAAATGATTTGCATTCTTACCTCTGGAACGTCTACAGAACTATGAACATTATTCTGAGGAACAAATGTCAAAGATAAGGACTCCGAACTCGCCGTGTTACCCGACCAGATCTACTCTCGTTGGGTACGCCACGGTGCAGTACAGCAGCGCTCCCATGCGATGCGTGGATGCAGAGCCGAATGTGCTAAAGAAGGTAGCCCTGAACACTATTCCTGTTTTGTGGGGTAATCGCTGACACTCAGTGAGGACTAGGTCCTATGGCGAGTGGCGAGACCAATTTGTCCCTTCTCCTTTTCTGAAAGGAGTCATTCGTACGCGTAGGTCCCAGCGATGGGTTCAAAGGCCGCATGAAATGGCGCTAGAAACGGTGGCACGAATGAGGCGTCCTCTCCCACGATGGCCTTGTAATGTTGAAGGCTCAGAACCTAAAAAGTCTGAGTGCACCAGGTATTTATCTGCCATCCAGGACTTTAATTTTTCTTCTGTTCACCGTTGGGGTCCGATGCACCTTATGTTCATTAGCCTCGACATGCAACTTGCAAAGGGCTTCAGAAGCGGACCAAAAAGCTGCGTATCCCAGCTAGAAGTCATCCTGGGCTAGCACAAGCATCTCCGACTTCTCTGAGCCACTCGCAGATACTATCAATAAAAATCTTCAAAACGGACTGCTAAGCAGTAGTTAGAACATCAAAGAAAAAGAAAAACGTGCCATTAAAAGTCTTCTTGATGCAAGTCGAAAATGTACACCTTTTCAGTCTATGATGCACGTTTCTGAAAGGAATGGGGGCTCAGCAGAGTGTTACAGGATCTAGAAACATACCGCATCATAATGTCCCATCATTCCTCTGGCATATGGCGCAGGTCCTACCGAAGAATTTTGTTTTGGTGGCGATCCATCGTAGGAATCAAATACAGGTTCCATGGCCATGCCACGTCTCTTGATAGGACAGCTTAAGCAGAAAGTCCATTAGATTGCAGACGCCACCATCCAACTGAGAGCGGGGTACGTCAGGTAAGAAGCAGTAAACCTCCGGCATATTGAGGAGCATAAGATGACAAATGGAAAAATGATGGACATAAGCCTCATTCATTCCTTACAGCTTCGATGAGCTGTTTGTCCAGATTTGCTAGAGTAGAGGATGATTCATCGACTAATGTACGTAAATCGGCTTTTTCGGCATCCAGGAGCGGGCCATTGCAATGCAAGAGGTCCTTGATGCGAGAGGACAGCGACGCTGGTGGGGCTTTAAAGGATGAAGATCAATACCGCATAGGACCTAGAACACCATTACAGGTACGAGCGCCGGTGGATTCCGTCTGGAGTGACAGCTGCAAGAAATTTGCAACAGCGCTTTAAAATCTTCTGAACCAACGCTTTTTTGGATTTGAGAATGAAATACAGCGTGGCCTATCAGTGAACCTGAACCACTGACAGGATGGAGGAAAGATAGTACTTCCTTGATGAAAAAGGGGCAATGAATTTCAATTTCGAAACAAACAAAATCACGTGGTCGTGGTCAACGACGCGATAAAGACGCGTCTTGGGCACACCTGACCTGCTTGGCCGCACTGTGTGTATTCCACACAATAAAAATATATTTGCGATGCTGACACACCATGTTGTGATATTATGACAGAGCCTTCATCCTCACCTCGATCTCCCATACATCAACCACAGACCTCAAAATCACGTCTTCTATTCCCGAGCAGGAATCACGATGGTCCACCCAAGTAGTCGAATTATATCCTCACCCACATCCGGAACAAACGAGCCTGCCGTCTTGGCTCTGAGCCCAAGGTCCTATGTCGTCCTGGCACGACGGAGACGAGAACGCGAACGCGAACGTCTTGATGGTAGCAAACGTTGGGTCCTTGTTCGTGCGCGAAGTCGTCATGCGGAATGTCTCCTTCTGCAAGTCCGTGAGCGATATGGGATTTGGTTCCGCGAGCGAAGGGGTGGGTGGCCCGAGAACACCGTTGATACTTGAAAAGGTGTTAGAATGCCAACGCCAGTTAGGACAGTGCTAACGTACAGAGACCGTCCAAAGGCCTCCTCGAACGGAAGAATTTCGTGGATGGCGACGATCGTCTGGAACGGGTAGAAGAAATGCCACTTGCACCCCCCTGGGCCGCACATTCCACAGAGACGAGGACGCGACTTGTGTCTGGTGATTTGTTTGGGATATGAGGCATCTGGTCTTGATTCTTCTTCGTACGGAATAGGCTGTGTTGAGGTAAGGGGCGGAATGGGTGCCGGAATCTCCTTGACGATTCGGATCTTGACTCGGGCGCTCTTTGGATAATTCCTGAGTCTGTTCATAGAGAACACGAGGAAAGGTGGAAGCTGTGAAGAACGGAAAAGAAGGTCTGCTTTAAAAAGAAAGAAGCCATCATGCATCATGTTGTGACCTTGAATTTCAAACAGTGCTCGAAAATGATCCGAACAAAAACAGTCGATTTCATTAGCATTAGGGTGGCAGGACAGTGATCAAGTGATGTCCATAACAACGACACTCTGCCGGGAGTGTAAGGGAACAGTAAGATATTCACACAGCAAAAAAGGTCCAATTCAAGCTCGGCACTACGACAATCCTAGAAAGGTTCTCTGTATCAGAGACGCATCGCGAAAACACCTACAAGAACACGTACCAATAACTCCACACGCGACTCTTCCCCCAGAATTTCCAGTCGTCAACGACAGGTTCGTCCCGCCCTTCCCCAGATCATCTGTCCCCGCATGAACGACCATGGAAGGTCTAGGAAATCAAGTCAATACCTTCATAAAAACCTCACGGAAAGAAAACGTACCCGATAATGCTCAGTGGCCCATTCAGCGAAATAATCTCATCAGTAATATCCAGCACCGTAACACCGCTCCCATCCGATTGGATATTTCCGAGATCGCCTACGTGCCTTTTGGTTATGGGATCGGTGGGACCACCGTGCGTGTTGAATGAGTTATAATGTTCTCCCACTGATGTGCAGTTGTCTGTGAGGTTCCCGGAGGTGCTACGGGGCAGTTGGGGCGGCGAAGGCAAAAGAAATGCTGGACGTCCTGGACGTGGAAACCTCATAAGGCTGAGGGATATAGCCCTACAATGCGTCCCGTTACATGAACCGGTCCATCATTGCCGGATTGCTGGAATATGACCGTGCCGTTGACTGGACTTAGTCCGCTTAAGACGACGACGGCCTTCGTATGTTTATAGTCAGCATTCGTGGCTCATCTTCATACGGTCTAAGGGGAAAAAATGGGTCGTTGTGCTCGAGTCCTTTGATAGTGGAAAAACTACTCAAGGCTGAGAAAGGTCGTGTGGGCGGGCTTGAAACACGAGTTTCTTGGATGGGTGAAAGAGCAGATGACTAGGAAACTGAAGCAGGTGGAGAGCCGATTGAAATGTGCGTATATTATTAGGTAGTTTTATAGCAATTACACCATAGGCTCATCTGCAGGATGCTTGTTCTCCCACCTCAAGCTCAGTGGCGCATGCCAACCAGCCCTCGGCATCTTAATGACACCGAAAATTTTGTCAGGAAGCCTCATTAGTCTGAATCACCAGGCCGGAAATTCTCTATCCCAAAGATCAGTGAATTCAGTCTCGCAACTCCTCATCACTTCCGAGTCAGAACGTTGATGGATCGAGCTTCTTAGCTTCCTTCGTTCTGGCTGTCATATCATGAGTTGCTGTCTACTCCTTCTGGCGCTGAACAGTTCATACAATATTCCTTGCTACACTGTAATTAATGGGACTCAGTCCTACGACAGCTGTTGGTGATGAACAACTCACCATTTCGCCTACAATGGTTCCCTGGTCGGACACTAATCCTATCCACTGCACACAAGTCAACGGCCCAATGATTTACATTCATTATTCATC